TCAGAACTTATCTCTCTTCATTTCTTTAAAGAGAGAAACACAAAACCCCAAGGGGGAGGAGGTAAGATCTTCGATCTCTTGTTGGGGTTTGGATTGTAATCTTTTGATACCTTATGTATTTCATCTAATATATGTTTGTGAACTTATTTTGGATTCTCTATTGATTGAATGTCTTTGATTATGTATTTGTGGGTATCGACAAAACCTTTTCACATCTTTGATCTCAGATCTTCTTCTATCAATGAACAAACTTTTGACATGGTTTTGAAGTTGATATTCATTGTATCTTCTATGGTGTTGTGTTGATTAAGTAGCATGGGTAGGATCAATATGATATTGTGTGGGTATGTGATAATAGTGATGAAGAACAATGTTCACCGACATTTGGCGGATTAGATGAATACATGGAAAAAGGGTTAAGCGTGTGTACGTATTTTGGTCATTGTGTTTTATGCAAAACAATTGTTTATCTGATATGGGTTTCATTCTTGTTTACTTGTTAATCTTTGATTTGAATCGTGATAAAGATATACTCTTCAGATCTGGATCTAGGATGATTACCGGTTAGGTCCTAAACGGTAGAGATAGATTTAGGCTTAGCATTTGTGTGAGTATCAGATCTTAATGCTCTGTGATGTGTTTTTGTTGGGTGAGAGATCATCATTGAGACAACACGGTTTTTCTCTCGACGCCGCGTTAGAAATAAGCTTTGCCGTGAGTGATACGTGATGATATTAGACGAATGATTGCGTTGTGTTTAATTTGATCAGAAGAATGCATATGTTATCAATTGATGAAATCCAATCCCAACAAGGCTCCGTTTATATTTCAGTGTTTATTTTATATTTTCTGTTTTTATCTATGGTTCCCTGAACCTTTTAAACCAAAACTTTTGAACAATAAGCTTAGAAACATAGAGGTCGTTAAACAGCGTTCAGATCGCACTAATCCCTATGGAGACGACAAAACTAGGTACTTAATATTTTTTGCTTGCTGCTTTACCGCTCCAACAATATGGAACAATGGTTTTATTTGAATATTAGGATTTAATTTGGATTTTGGTGGGAATTTGAATTAATTTTGAATATGGGCTTTTGGATTCTTGAATTGGATATTTGATATGGATTCGGATACTTGGATAATGATGGTAAGAAAATGGTTAAGAAAAAATGGATAATGGAAAATGGATATTAAAATGGATTTTGAACTTGGATGTGAATTTGGATGGTAAGTGATTATGAAATTGAATAATCCACTTTGTTACTTGAATCCTAAGAAATCCACACAAAATCAAATCAAATCCTTGGGCACAATGAATGTTTAAAAATTTGATGCCATTTAAACATTCTTGAATCAAAGAATCCATTAGTCTTCCATGCCATGCTTGTCTTATGAATCTTAATCTTCAATTTATTCACAAAAGCAAACACATTCTTTTTTATGAGATATAAAACTGAGGGCACATTTCTCCGTCATCTCCTCTTGAATCCAAAGCACCCTAACAAGAGCTTGACAACACCACAAACACATACAAGACCTCATAACCTAAAACTTAGAGGATCATGGACAAAAGTCAAATGATCATCTAAAGGAAGATCAAGAAGCAACACAAAGCTAGGTACACAAAAATAAACAAGGTAGAACAAATTTGGGGCATGACAAAGGAAAGAGAGTGGAATGAGAATTAGGTGTTGACATATTAAACATGATCATGTTTGATCTTGTCATAAATTAGAATTATAGAACAATTGTGAATATTGCAAATTGATTATTATTAACATAAGTTTAACATATTATTTTAGGAAAATAGATCATAACTTGTTATATAAATATATAATTGGGAATCAATATCAGAAAGACAATTCATTTTCATTCATTCCTTTACATACATCATACTCTATGTTGTCCCAAAGTAGCTAGTAATATTAACTAACACCATCAACTCTATGTTTTCCCAAAGGTGGCTTAGAAAGCCATTAGATCATTGTAGACTGGTGTCTACTTAGGGTGATAACCACTATTATTTCACACCTAAAAACATTTTGTGTACATAATGTCACATGAGCTCCCACTCGTCAATCAAAATCATATATACTTTTTCCGTTGACTATTCTAATCGTTATTACCAAAGAAAATACTTCTTTGGTAATGCCATCCACTTTTGGTTGTGTCTAAACCAAAGAATGGGTCTTACATCTATTGACTCCCCTTATTTGCTTGTTGTATCAAGCTTTGTGACCGCTCTCTTTATTTTTCTTTTAAGCGTTATGTTCCTCTCGTAAAAGATGTAACTAAGGGAGGCACTTATTACTGAGAGAGAGAGAGAGAGAGAGAGAGAGAGAGAGAGAGAGAGAGAGAGAGAGAGAGAGAGAGAGAGAGAGAGAGAGAGAGAGAGAGTCACCATAATAGTGTTCCAATTTATGCATTCACAACTTGCACGCTCCAACTTAAAGGGAAGAAAGTAGAATGAGTATTAGGTGTTGACATATTAAATATGATCATACTTGATCTTGTCATAAATTAGAATTTTAGAACAATTGTGAATATTGTAAATTAATTTTGATTAACATGAGAATAACATATTATTTTAGGAAAATATATCATAACTTGTTATATAGATATATGATTAGGAATCAATAGCAAACAGACAATTCACCTTCATTCATTCCTTTACATACATCATACTCTATGTTGTCCCAAAGATAGCTAGTAATATTACCTAACACCATTAACTCTATGTTGTACTAAAGGTGGCTCATAGAGTCATTAGATACATGTAGAATGGTGCCTGCTTAGGGTGATAACCTCTATCTTTTCATGCCTAAAAAAGTTTTGCATACATGATGTCATATGAGCTCCCCCTCATCAATCAGGATCATATATACTTTTCCGTTGACTATTCTAATCGTTATTACCAAAGGAAATATTTCTTTGGGAATGCTATCTACTTTTCATTGACTATTCTAATCGTCTGTTGACTCCTCTTTTTTGCTTGTTGTTCAAGCTCTGTGACCACTCTCTTTGTTTTTCTTTTAAGTGGTATATTCCTCTCATAAAAGATGTAACTAGGGAAGACTCTTTTTACACAGACACAGACACACACACACACACACACACACACACACACACACACACACACACACACACACACACACACACACACACACAGAGTCACACACACACACACACACACACACACAGTCACACACACAGTCACCATACTGGTTTTTGAATAACCGTGTAGTGGTGGCCTTAGGCAAATCGTAATTAGGTTATATAAGTTAATGGATTGGATTAAATCCATCCATTTATATGCATGGATTGATTCAATCCATCCAACATATTTTAAGGATCCAATATACTATTTTTATTTCCGTTAGATTTATTTTTTAAAAAATAATTAAAAATAAATTTTTTTAAAGAAAAGAACTGATTTTTTTCAAAATAAAAAAAAACCAGATTTTTTTTGAAAAAAAATCGGATTTTTTCTGAAAAAAAACAGATTTTATTCTGATAAGAAAATCGATTTTTCTCCCCAAAATAAAACTGCTTTTTTTCCAAAAAAAAACTGTTTTTTTTAAAATTAAAATATTGATTTTTTGGAAAATACAAAAAAGTCAATTTTTTCTTAAAAAAAACCGATTTTTTTCATAAATTAAAATATCAGTTTTTTAGAAAATACAAAAAGTCGAAAATTTCCAAAAAAAAACAATTTGTTTCCGAAAAAAAAAAACTGATTTTTTTTCAAAAATAAAAAATTGATTTTTTAAAAAACACAAAAAGTCGATTTTTCCCAAAAAAAATAAATTGATTTTTTATTTTGAAAATACAAAAGATAAATTGATTTTTTTCGAAAATACAAAAAAATCGATTTTTTATCATGAAAATACAAAAAATTGATTTTTTTTTCTTTAGAAAATACAATTATTTTCTTGAAAATACAAAAAATGGTTTTATTTTTAAAACAATTTTTTTTCATGAATATATTAAAAAAATTTAAATAAAAAAATGAAAATTTCAAAATTAAAATAAAATTGGTTATTTAAAAATATAAAAAAAATATATATTTTTTTTCAAAATAAAAAAAAAAGTTGGATGGATGGATATCCATCCATTAAAAATATGTTAATAGATGGATTAGATGAATTTTATTGTTAACAAATGGATTGAATTAGATAATTTTAAGAAAATTTTAGTGGATTATTAATGGACCAATAGATTGTTTTGATCTCTCCACTAGCAATTTAATTCATATCTATCAAATCCATCTATTTTGCGACCGCTAACTTGCACGCTTCAAGTGAGGGTGGAACGAGTATTAGGTGTTGACATATGAAACATGATCATTCTTGATTTTGTCGTAAATGTTGTAAATTGATTATGATTAACATAAGTTTAGCATAATATTTTAGGATCAATAAATTAGAATTTTAAAACAGTTGTGAATATTGTAAATTGATTATGATTAACATAAGTTTAACATATTATTTTAGGAAAATGAATCATAAATTGTTATATAAGTATATGATTGGGAATCAATAGCAGGAAGACAATTCACCTTCATTCATTCCTTTACACACATCATATATTTTTTTTGGTGTTTGAATTTTTAAAAGAATTTATCATTGTAATGATGAACTAGTAACAACAAATTGTTGGAACCTTTCCTTTAGTTGAATAGCAATTCCTATAAATATTATTAGACTAGTCTTTTCATCAAACTATCTTATATGCAATTTGAGTTTTTTGGTTACCACATTGAAGAATGTTTTCACTTATTTAACCACATGTTTAAATTATACATCATCAAATGTGAGACAATTAACTACAAAATAAAGAAGTAAAAAGTTTTGGGAAAAATTAAGTAACATCTGGTTCCTTTTCACCTTATACAAGCTTCAATTGACATAATATTAATTTGATTACAAAATGTGTTTATGCATTAATACAAAACAGAAATGTTTGAATATATATTACATATAGGGACAAGTTTAACAAGTCTAAGACCACCATGGAGCATCACCTGTTCTGAAATCTGTTTCAACCCAAGGAACAAACACAACCTTCCCATCATCCACACCAACATCACAATGTGCCAATGCCAGAGACTGTCCAACAAAATTACCAACAATATTCATTACTACAAGCACTTATGTACAAGCTATTTTTAGTTGATCAAATGATAAGATTTTTCAATTTGCTTACCAATGGTGCAGGTCCTCTCACAACTCTTCCTTGGTCATTGTACTGAGATCCATGGCAGGGACAGATGAACTTGTTCTCAGCTTGATTAAACGGCACGACACACCCGAGATGAGTGCATACGGCATTAATCGCAAATGTTGCAAGTGTTCTGTCTTTCTCTACCACAAGGTATGTAGGATCACCCTGTTATATAAAATCATGATGTTACAATGTTACAAGATGCAGTTTCTTATCACACAAGCAATGTAGAAGACATGAAGAAATAACCACCATAACTAATTTTGGTTATGATAGTTGGGAGTTAGATATGGAAATCTATCCTATAGGTGCTTGTGTAATATAGTTAGCATAGAGCTTACGGAATGGAAGATTAGTGATATTCATTTTCACTCTATCACTTATCTGATAAGTGTTTATGTATAAACTATTTTTATAAATTCTACAAAATAACTTATGAAACTGCTTATAATGTAATGTTTTAATCAATTAACGATTGCACACTTACCTTTAATCCTTGTGTAAGAGTACGGTCGCCAGGTCCATGAGTCTTGAGCCATTCCGCTGCAACTACATCATTGCCAATGGCATCCTTGGCAATGGTACCACCAGTTGAAGAACCTGAGCTGTAATTTTTGTTCCAAAACAGGTTAATAATTTGGTAGATGAAGAAAATGAGAATGAAAATTAAATAACTTTTCGATGCCAAATGCAAAAGATAATTAGTAATATAGTAGACTACTAATAGTTCTCTTGTATGATAATCTTATTAGTGCATGTTTGGTATTGCACTGAGTTTGACATAACCACAGTGAGATCATCGTGATTATGTCATCCAACAGCGATACCAAACATACACTTAGAGACACTGAAAGTTCAGATTGAAAATATAATTGTATCACAACATGTATTGGCGTCTGACATCTAACACGAAATCTATACACACTGTTAGACACAATCACTTCTATTTCCCAGTTTATTATCATTGTCTATGTATCGGAACCATATCATGTTTGATGTTCGTGTCAAACACATAAAGGTTAACATAAAAATCCTTAACCAACACATCAATCCACACAATTGTACAACTCAATACATCATCAACAAGTCTCACCAAACACAGAATAAAACCTTAATTTTAGTAACAACAATAACTACTATGTTACAAATGCATGTTAGTACTAAAAACCTTAATTTCACACAGAGATTAAATTTTAATTACTTAATAACTAGAATACAAAAACAAAAAACATACCCTGGAGGTACAAGGAAGGAACCATATGGAACAAGCATTCCAGCAGTAGGAAGTGAAAGAGCACCAAGAAGAAGCAAATTCAAGGTTTTCCTCTTACTCATATCTGGTACACGATCAGCAGGAATGCTGGTAGCTTGGCAAGTAATTTTCATTCCCTTATTACCCTTCCCAATCATATGTGTCCTTGTTGGTTTCACAAGAAGAGCTATTGAGGGACAGAAAATTCCACTCTTTCCAGAACATAGCTGAAATCAAAAAATCAAAATGACCCTTTAGTTCAGATTGTGAAAAAGATAAAATCTTTGCTGATTTTTGGATATTACCTGAGATGGGGTTGTGGGAGATAGAGTGGTGGAAGACATGGTGGAAGCTCTTGATGAAGAAGATTCTGTTGGTTTGTGAATGAATGAGAGGTGAATGTAATAATAAGATGATGTTTTTTGTTTGGTTTTTTTAAAATGTTAAACGAGCACCACAACTGTCGATAGTTTGATTAAGTGGATAAGGGGCTAAGGTCATGTATCTAGGTGCCACATATTCTTCAGCAGCCAATCACAACCAGGAACTACAAATTTAGATTAAGTTTTTTGTTTGATCAAAATGTTTTTTTTTTTTTTTTTTGTTTAAATACACTGGTAATACTTATGTCTACAATATGGGCTTTAAGCCCATGCCAGATTTTAGATTGGGCTTCAAGCTAGATAGATACTTTTAAAAAAAAAAGAAGTTTCTTAATGCACCATATATATTAGTAATACATTACGTGAAAATTCGAAAATGCCTCTTAGATTTTAGAAATGCTTCTCGAGATGCATCCATGCACACACAACACATTTATTTTTGAACTATATCCCATTTTTATGACTTAAACAAGACTTTTCGTTGATTGTTGATTTTACTCTGCATATTTTAATTTCGGTGGAGAGAAAATTCCAGAAAAAAAAATGAGTTTATTTATATCATTAATTTTGTTATATATTAACTTTTTATATTTCAGTTTGTTTTTATTTATATTTTGTTGTGTAATAGTAATAATAAGGTGTTTTTGAGAGTGTAATATATATTGTTAAGATATCAATGTAAGTGTATGAGAGGAAGTATATGAATTGATTCTTGTTGTTTTTTAATTTGTATTGGAGTAAGCGTATTGTAAATATTTAAGAGAAAGATGCTACATGTGGAAGAAACTATTTGTTCAGAAAATACATTTTCGAAAATATAAAATTAAGGTGTGATTCAAAAGTGAATAAATTGTATGTGCAGGATATATTCGGAGATACATTTCTAAAAATTAGGGACATTTTTTAATTTTTATATGGTGTTTAAATATAGGGTACATTAAGAAATCCCCTTTAAAAATTTGGACATTTCCGTTTTAAGAAATCTACTTGGCACCCCGCATTTTTTAATAATATCAAAATTAACCTTGTTATTATTTATCCTTTTTAGAAGTTATCGTTTAAAAAAATCACTCTATAAAAGATTACAGAAAAAAAAATATCTGGTAGGCTTGTTAAAAAATCCGGTACTTTTTTTTTTACTGAATCAGATGAAAAAATACACATTTTTATTGGAATTCTAAAAATTTGATTTGAGTTTTTACCAAAATTTTTAAAGTATATGATATGTTTCATAGTTATACCGGATATTTAAAAAACTCTGTAATTGGATATTTCCCCCACCCTTAAAAAATCTGGTAATACAATTCTTCAAGTTCTCCTTTTAACAATTTAAATTTAATCGGAATATTTTAATTAATTTATTTAATTGAGAATATTCGTATTTTGGGTGGTTTCGGTGGTTTGTGGAGTATTGAGAAGATGTGCATGTTAGACTATTTATTTAATTTATAGTATACTATATGAGAATATTAGTATTATTATTATTAAAATAATTATAAGTGAAATAAGGGTAAATTGAGAATTTGGAGGAGTTAATAAGGATATTATGGGAAAAGTCCAAATTGGGAGACCTAAGACTAAGTGGGACAAAATTGAGTTCTGAAGGGAAATTAGAATTCATTTGTGTTAACCGTGAAAATATGGTGGCCCGAGCTCTGAAGGAAAGGTTGGAGGCAGAAGATTCCCGGAGACAATCGTGAAAGCTTTGAATCGGCTAAGGTATGGGGAGTATCGTTGTTCATGATTTTCTATGTATGCCTTTAGATGTGTTTATGGTTGGTTTATGATTTAAGGTATTTTGGGTTGGCCGTGGGAAAATAGGGAATTTGATGATAAGGATTTGAGGTTAGGGGTAATGGTATGTAACACTGAATATTGATATGAAAAAGGGAAATCTTAGGCTTTCGTGGCCAAAACCTTGGATCGATATATGTTTGACCCTGTAGGAATAGGAATGTTCAATTGTGAGCAACTCTGATGCACTCAGAGCAATTGCAGGAAAATAGTGATTTAGGTAGTGCAAATGTTGCCGGATTGGCCTAATAAACCATAGATTTTGTGTTTTTATCACCGTAAGACCTTAGAAATGATTTAGGGATGTTTTGGGTATTGGGGAAGCAAATCGTGTGGACTTTTGGGTTGATTTAGGTTCCAGAGCGTAACAGCGTTTTGCTGTCCGTCACGACTGTTCATGTTTTCGGTCGAAATTGTTTTGGACGTAACTTTTGATCCGTAAGGCCGTTTAGACCCCCGTTCGAAGCTTTGGAAAGCTAATAAACAAGGCTATAGCATAGAATAGATAAGGGAATTGGTGTCCCAATATTTTTATATCTAATTATGTTTGAGAATTCAATTGGGTATATGTTCTAGTAACGAATCATGTTCAGGTTCAGTGATGTCTTGATGTTTTGATGCTGCAATTTTCCTAATGAATTACCATGGGGGTAACTGTGATAATATGATAAATTAACATGAGTAGGACTGTAAAGTTTATGTGTTTGATAGGCGATAGTGTGAGGATTACCGTGAGTATAATATGATGAATTAATATGAGTATGACACTGAGGTTGCGTGAGTAATAAGTGCTAGTATGAGAATTACCGCGAGTGTAATTATGATGAATTAATATGAGGCAATGTAAGATGATATTAGGGACTAATATGTGAATACTATGTGATGATATGACGAATTAACATGAGTAGAACCGTGAAGTTTATGTGATTGAAAGGCGATAGTGTGAGGATTACCGTGAGTATAATTTGATAAATTAATATGAGATGATATGGGGGTAGTATTATGAATTGATATGGGATGATATGGGATAATATGACTATGAGCTAATATGTGATTTATACGTGATTAATATGATGAATTATGATGATATGTTGTATGATGAGTAATATGATGAATTATGATGATATGTTGTATGATGAGTAATATGATGAATTATGATGATATGTTGTATGATGAGTAATATGATGAATTATGATGATATGCTGTATGATGATTAATATGATGAATTATTAAGGTTGATGGTGATGAATATGATGAATATGATGAATGATGATGCACCTATGATGTTATTGTGAGGATTATTATTGTGACGTGTGCATCATGCATTCATGTGCATCCGAAATTCGGTTCAGGACCTCGATTGCTTTGGCTTCAATCCCACTGTGTGGATGTAAAGTATTTTGATGTGCTCCGATCTTATTGATGGGGATCTATGGAGGGTTGATGGCCCAGTGTCCATCGCACTGTGATGATCGGTTCCGCATGCATTAAGTTGTGTCGAATTGCATCTATGAGTCTTTTTGTATGAATTATGATGTTATGGCCTTTGAGGCATATTTGAAGGATATCAATGTGTTGAATATAATTATGAGTAATATGCCGTTTATGCATTAATTGTTATACATTGACTATTATGAATTGTTTTACTTACCCTGCCTGTTTGAATGTTACCTCCACGTGGGTAACGTGCAGATGAGCAAGTTTAGCCGTGGACGCCGTCGAGGAATATTTTGAAGTTTTAGAGTCGTTAGCCTTTATGGTTAATTTAGAGGGTCTTGCTCTGATATGTAACATCGGGTTATGTTCTTTGAGTTGATTTTATATCATTGGGTTATTTTACTGATGTTCCCTTTTGAGGAGAAACCTTGATCTATACTTTGAGTTCCGCTGTTTTCTGTTGTTTGATGTACTTTGAGGAAAACCCGTCGTTACGGAGTATTGACCAATTTTGTTGACTTTATGAAATGTACGCCCTTTTGTGATTTTTTAATGAGATTTATTTATTCACTCTGATTTATGTGTTATTTTGCCTTGATAATTTTGGGGTAGAAAAAGGGTGTTACATTAGTGGTATCAGAGCAGGTCGGTCCGTCCGGCCAAGTTGTCTAATGTTGTTTATTCCCTGGTATGCGACATGTGTGTGAAAACACTGTCGGTACATGTTTGTTGCCTAACCTTTGCCTGCAGAAGTGGGAATGATTCAAGTGTGGGAAAAGCTTGTGCTTCTCCAGGATGCTGCAAGTGTGGAATTATAGCTCAGTGTGTGGTTGAACGCTCTTATAGTTTGGTATAGATGGTTTATACCCCATCATGATTTTCGGCTGTCTATTGACAAATTGAGGAACTGATCACCCTTAATCTCTTGTTGATAGTAGACGGGGTCATGTTGGATGGGATAGACATGTCTTGCAAGCTTAGATGGCGTGAGCAGTGAATTGTCTTGAGTTAAGCTAAGTGTTTAAGAATTGTTTTGATGAGTTGGTGCAGGACATTGTTGAGATGTTTAATTTTGATGGGAATTTTGAGTGGTAATGAAAGTGGGGGAGTTAGCGGTTTGCCGATGAACTGTGGTTGTCTGGAAGTGATCCTGACAAGATAGTGATATACAGCAAGGACGTGAAGTGGAGTTGTGATCGACTTAGTTAAGGAAACTAGTGTGAGATTGAGAGCTCTATATTATATGCCTGTTTGGATGGTCAAGGAATTAAATGGATTGAGTGGTTTTGAGACTTGTGTATGGTGTGTGTGCTAAGGCAACAAATTGTGAGGTCGAGTATATTAAAGGTGGACAGTGATTTCTGGTGATTATTAGAGAAAGTCAGACTGGAATGCAATATTGGTATAATTAGGCCTTTAAATATTTCAAAAGTTGAAGATGTGTTGAATGGCCTCCTAAGTGTGAAATTGTTGTTCTACGTTGAATTCTAAGATCACAACTTTTTACGGAATCAAAATCGGGCACCCGGAAGTCATTTAACGATTGAAAATAGAATTTCGGACTGTTAGGTTCGCCAGGCGAGCGATATCCTTCACCAGGCGAAAATGTCCTGGGGCAGAAGAATGATGTTTTCGTATTTTTGCCGTAACGGGAGAACTGTAACTCAGAATGAAGCACGGTTCAAAGCGTTGGAAAGCTAGTCCAGTGCTCTATATGATGGTGAAGTAGT